CTCTTTGCCTTTTTACAAATTTGAAGATATCTAAATTTTTTACTTACATTAATGAGGAACTAAACTTGCTACCAACAAGAAAGAAATTCCTTACTTTTGGTACAAGAACTTAAGAAAAAAGCACGACAAAAGGCTCTACAAATACTTACTAATTAGATAGGATAGGCCCAATCACTATTAATTTGAATATGTTGATACTCAACTTCAAGTCTTGTTTCAAGTCCTTCTTAATATCAAAAACCTTATATTGCAGCCTTTCTTGCACCTTGTCTTTGAAATGGCTAGCAATCCATTTTGCAAATACCCTAGGATTCTTAAAAAACCCTAAGGTATCTGTGTTGTAAATAAAGGGTCTTGACTTTTAGACCTGGATTACACCCATCATTTGCTACATAAAATAGAAAAGGACAGCCCACTTTATACTTAACCCAAATCTTATGTAGCGCACTCTTTATCAGTTGCAACTTCACACCTTCATTTATGGCATAAGTAGTAAGGGCCTTTTTTGCCTTATCTCTGTCTCTAAATGTCATTCCTGACATAAAAAAGAGCCTACTTGAGTCTATGGGCCTTCTAACCTCATAGATAGGCCAATCATTCATTGTTGGCCTAATATTTTCCTCTTTAAAGTCCTCACTATCTCTGCCACTTCTTTTATCTTGTCCTAATGTCTCATTAAAGTTAGAGTCATCACTGCTTGCTTCTCCACTTTTACTTTATCCTCACTCTTACTTCCTTCTTTACCATCATTCGCACTATTATCATATCCAGTAACAGTATTGTTATCAACTTCATAGAACTTCTCATACTCAGTATAGGCATCCACATAAAATGAGTCTAGGTTAAACTCCTCTACATCTATTGGGTCATCCTCTTTTATCTCAACAATTACTTCTTTGCCTTTTCCTAAATCATGTTTTACATCCCCTGAATCCTTCTCAACCTTAGACCCATTGATGTCAACAATTTTCTCTATACTACCCTCCCCTGTTTTTCCCTCCTTGTTGCCAAGTATACCAAATAATCATCAGTAATGATAAAGCCAAATATCCTTAGCATTTTCCATAGCCTCACGTATCTGGACAATAAATGGCACGTCATCATCGCCATTAGACTCACCCTTACCGTCATCTTTCCTTTCACAATCTTCAACATCATCATCACTAAACTCTTTCATGTCCTCATTTGACCCATCTGATTTGTCATAAACGTCACTTATTTTGTTTAAAAACAAAAATCTAAGCAAGGGCTATTGTGCGATTTCACAATTAAATTTAAAGCTTTAGACCGAAGATTCTTACTTATAGCTAGCCGACAAATCGATGTCTTTACCTTTGTTCTTGATTGACTCGAGTTGTCTCATCTTCAATCTCAAGATCTTCTGATCAATCTTACTTTAATCACTTCAGATAGCTTCATTCTTGATTGACTGGAGTTGTCTCATCTTTAGTCTCAAGTTCTTATAATCAATCTCAGTTTAATCACTTTAGATAGCTTTCATCTTCGTACATGGTTAATGAAATAGAGTTAAAGAGTTTCCCTTTCCCTCCCACGACAATTCATTAGGGAAATTACTTTTCAGCCTCTCTTATTTTAGTTAAAAGGTCAAACTACTTTCACATCAGCATTTCCGATCAGATTTTACTCCAACTAGTCAATTTAACGCCAGGGGTAACATAGTGCTTCAAATAAAATAGGGTAGGGACAACAATGCTACTAAAAAAATTGTTAGAATGCTGGATTCTCCTTTGAAAAAATTTTAAGAACAAAAATGAACCTTTGCCTTTTTTTATATGGATTGTGAAAAACAAGTAATATTATTTATATTTGTAAATAGTATATGTGACTTTATAAGTTTATTATAGATTTTAGAGTGAAAGTATTTATTTGTTTCTCAACTTTTTCCAGACATGTCACGGACCCTCAAGTCAAGGATATGGCATGATGTTGCCCCTTTGCGTGTTAAAAAAACTGAACAATATTAAATAATTGTTAATTTTATCATTAATCGATCTAAAAAATTATAAGGAATGATAAAAAGAATTATATATACATATATATATATGTATATGTATGTATGTATGTATGTATAAGTCTTTCATTCTCCAATTATTCTATATTATATTAAGGTATCTAAATTTCATGTTTTAATACATATATTCTTATTATAGAAAAGATCCCGCAAGCAGCAAATACAACGGTTTATTCCATTATTTCAATGTCTTTATTGTAACCATATTTTATGCAATCCAAAACTTTTAAGGTTAAAAATATAAGCTAAATTATACATTTCTCCTAAATTTTGAATCACGTACACATAACCTTTTTAACCTTTAAAGCTTTACAATAAATCCCCTCAACTCTTATATTTATGTAGATAACTATATATGATTAATTTTATATATTAATTATCTATACATAATTTAAAGTTTGGAGGTTATCTACATATCAATCAAAAAGTTGAGGCTTAAATGTACAAAAAAAATTTAAAGAGGTATATAATTAATGGGTATGAGTTATTTGCATAAATTTAAAAGTTCAAGGAGGGTTATTATTAAGTTTGAAAGGTTAAGGAAGTTATTTGTATAGTTTTACTCCCTCCGTTAAAAAATGTAAGGTATTTTTAAAAGAATCTCACCCTTTAGTAAAATATTTATTTACTTTTAAGCTAACCTCATCATTTCATATTTATCCTTATTAAATACCTATAATAAATATAAAGTATATACAAGATTGAAGATGTTTTACATTTTTGAATATTTAATTTTTTAAAAAATGCTCTATATTTTTGAATGAAGAAACTAATGTTTAAGAAAATTTTGTGTATTTTAGCCAAAAGTATATAGAAGATGGGGGAAGTTTGATAGAGAAATGAAGAAAATATCTTAATAAAGGAAAAAAAAAAATAAAATTTAAAATGTATTGTAACCCTATCTTTTTTTTTTGTTGGCCAGAGTATTGTAACCCTATTTAAAAAAAGGTTGTATGTTGCATGCAGTATGTGTACTTTTTTTATTTTATTATTATTATAGTAAGCAAGAACTTTTTGCAAAGATCCATATCCATATAATGCCCAGACATAAAAGAAAAAGAAACAAGAAATAAGTGAATTTCTCATTAATTTCACGCATAAACGGGAATTTTCTAGTTTTGAAAATAAAATCCGGATCAGAATCAAATTTAAATGTAACTATTTTAAGTTCGAAACTCTACCCTTGGTTAATAAACATGCTAATCCATTTATAACTCCATTCTCCACAGTTTATTTATTTTTTACCAATGGCCATGGGCTATGATCTCGTGCATCGTATAAGAAACATAAATTGTTATCAAACTATCAACGTTAGCAGGTGACTTGAAAAATGATTTACTTCATAATCGGATTAAAAGGTCAACAGTTTTAGGTTCGCATGATTGAATTGGTTAGATCAATATTTAAACTCATAACGTAATAATTAAATTAAAAAAATTATATATTTGTATAATAGTTTAAATATAAGAAATTAATATAAAATTGTTATTCAACTTAAAAATAAAATAAAATTTTAAATTTGTTATGATTTAATAAGTTACATGATATAACATAATATCAAATAATTAAAAAAATTAATAATTTTATAAAAAAGATAAAAATAAAAAAAGAATTTTTTTTTAACAGTCCAGTTTTTAAAAGCTTGATCCAATTCTTAGCTTGATTTTGGTTCCTAATACAACCATCAGTTTAAAGCGACTCAATCTAATCTAATTTTTCAAATGATTTTTTTAACTTGATCAAGCTGTTAATCTAATTGATTGATAGTTTGACCATTTAATTCGGTCTTATTTTTGAATTATTGTTTACTATTTTAATTCGTTGCTTTCGAAAAAAAAAAAGCACTAATTTTCTACGTAAATAATGTCTTAAAAGCAATCATTTTGGGGAAAAAAAGTTTTTGGTACACGTCAAGTAGGAAAAATAATGTGCACTTTTAACACCTTGCGGATGGAGACAGGGGTGGAGGGAGAGGGAGGAGCTCTGGGCCACCGCGGCAAAAAATTTGAAGTTATATTTTTGACTCCTCAATAAAAAAATCTTTGTAATTTAAATATATAATTAACAAAAATTAATTTAATTGATAAAGATTTGATTTATAATTCATAAAGTCATGTAATTATAACTTGTTTTAATATGAGGACGTTGTTGATAGATAATATTTAAATATATTTATAAGTGCTCATTGAACCTATAATCATGCCTTAATTTTGTTGAGTCTCCAAAATTTAACTCACTTCAAATTTTTTGATTATATAAATTTTTTTATTATGTAAATGGTTTTTAATTTTCGCCTCTTATAGTTAAATCTTGCTTCCACCCTGGATGCAGACAACTATGTAGATTAATAATTTTCTATTTAATGTCTTCTTCTATAAATGTCATAAAGTTTTTAATTATTAATTACTTTCAATTTAAAAATAAAAAACTTTATTTCAATAGTACTAGTACATTTTAAATAAAACTAAAATATTGGTAATTAGTAATTACTAATACTATACCACATGATCAATCTTAATATTAATAATTAATAATTAATAATTAACAATAATATGCAATTATTGAGCGGCCTGACGAAGCATCGTGACCAGATAGCCAATTGCCAGCTTTGCTCCTGTGCTTATTTGTTGTGTTAGGACTTGAGAATTTTCATTCACACTTTCATAACCAAAGTCCAAAGCAAAGGGATAAAAAGAAATCGAAAAAAAAGGGGAAAGAGTTCTCAGCTTTTACCGCTACAGAAGCTATCAAACTTGTGTTCACTTTAAAAATACATCCAAAAAATAAGAAAAATGCTTTTTTTAAAAAAAGATCGATTATGATTAAATTAAAATTTAAAATAAAAATTAACATAAATCGTTAAGAGGCACGGGCCCCGCAAATATCGCGCTTTGCGTCAGTCCATTCCTTTCCAGACGTTTCTCGCGGAATATTCCTTTTTTGGGTGGGTCTTTTTTTTTTTTTGTCGAAGGTTCTTCTTCTTCAATCGCAATCTAGACTCTCTCTGGACATTTTCAGCAAGACAGTCCATAATTGCAGTGTCCGAGCCTTCACCATAAGTTTCTCTTCCTGCAAGTAATTGCAGAGGAGGAGGAGGAGGAGGAGGAGGAGGATATGGCGGGAAACGACTGGATAAACAGCTACTTGGAGGCGATACTGGATGTCGGACCGGGTCTCGATGATGCAAAATCCTCCTTGCTTCTCAGAGAGAGAGGGAGGTTCAGTCCCACTCGCTACTTCATTGCCGAGGTCATCTCTGGTTTCGATGAGACCGATCTCTACCGCTCTTGGGTTCGGGTACTGCTCTACCACTTCCTCCTTCTCATTCTGATTTCTTCATTTTTCTTATTTGACAGTTTGCTCTGTGTTTATGGAATTTACTGCATGGTCATTTGATGTGGCAGGCCTCTGCAACGAGGAGTCCCCAGGAGAGGAATACTAGATTGGAGAATATGTGTTGGAGGATTTGGAACTTGGCTCGGCAAAAGAAGCAGGTCCTATTGATGTTGTTTCACTGTGATGCTCATTTGTAATTCTATGTTATTCATTGATTTAGTGACTCGGACGTGAATTCAACCTGCTTGCTGTATCTGATTTTTGCATGGTGATTGGGGATTATTGGCGTTAGGATAAAAAAATCGGTTCAGTTTGCCTACTTGTTCATTGAGTAAAATAGCAATTTAACTTCTGAGCCTCTTTCTTCCTTAGTAGATCTGTTTCAAATAATGGGCTCTTCAGCTTCTGATCTTCAGGCTGATGTTTTGGATTGCAGTGTAAAGTGGTCTGTTGGTTTTGGGGAATATGGTTTCCCCTTTTTTCCTTCTTTCGGATGGACTATATCATTTTCTGGATTCTTCTCATCCTTGAGTGTTACATCAACTTATACAGAATATCAATTTCGGAAGTTTGTATTGTTTATGTGAAATTAAGCATGCGTGCGAGGAGAGAACAACATCACCTCGAGGTCTTGTATCTCTGTCTCATTGTTAATAAGATATCCTCTCTTTTTATAGCTTGAGAATGAGGAAGCCCAAAGATTAAATAAACGCCATCTTGAACGTGAAAGAGGCCGCAGAGAAGCAACTGCTGATATGTCCGAGGACTTATCGGAGGGAGAAAAAGGAGATTCAGTGAGTGATGTTTCAGCTCATGGCGATAGTGCGAGAGGAAGACTTCCTAGAATCAGTTCTGCTGATGCTATGGAGACGTGGGCTAACAGTCAAAAGGGGAAGAAACTCTATATTGTACTCATAAGGCACGGACTGCACTTCAGAGCTTCTTGATTTTTGAAGGGGCCTTGAATAGAAATATTTTTGCTCATAATTATTCTAATAAGCATTACATATTAGCGATTTAAAGTGCATGGTCCCTTTTTTTTTTGGCATACTTGATTTGATCATTTATTAGTCTAACAGCTAGTATATTTGCAGCATTCACGGTCTAATAAGAGGTGAGAATATGGAGCTGGGACGGGATTCTGATACTGGCGGTCAGGTAATACTTGTGCTTTTTGTATTTTACTTTTTTTTTTTTGGTAATGTAAAATAATCTGGTTTCTTTATAAAATTATGCTACTCCACTCTACTATATGTTGATATCTACATGGTCAAGTGGGAATCTAAAATCTGTTTGCTTTTATCTCTGCTAAACAGGTTAAGTATGTTGTGGAACTTGCAAGGGCCTTGGGCTCAATGCCAGGAGTTTATAGAGTTGATTTGCTAACTAGACAAGTATCATCACCAGATGTAGATTGGAGTTATGGGGAGCCAATAGAAATGTTGACTCCAAGAAACCAAGATGATTTAACAGATGACGGGGGAGAGAGCAGTGGTGCTTATATAATTCGTATACCCTTTGGTCCAAGGGATAAATATATTCCAAAAGAACATCTTTGGCCTTATATTTCTGAATTTGTTGATGGTGCTCTTGGCCACATTATACAGATGTCAAAAGCTCTTGGGGAGCAAATTGGTGGTGGGCATGCTGTTTGGCCTGTTGCCATTCATGGACATTATGCTGATGCTGGGGACTCTGCTGCTCTTCTATCTGGTGCTTTAAATGTTCCAATGCTTTTCACTGGCCACTCACTTGGTAGGGATAAGTTGGAACAGCTTCTGAAGCAAGGTCGACTGTCAAGAGATGAAATAAACAACATACAAGATTATGCGTCGAATAGAAGCTGAGGAATTAGCCCTTGATGGTTCTGAAATAGTCATAACAAGCACTAGACAGGAAATAGAACAACAATGGCGTTTGTATGATGGCTTTGATCCAGTATTGGAGCGCAAGATACGAGCAAGGATTAGGCGTAATGTGAGTTGTTATGGTAGATTCATGCCTCGTATGGCGGTAAGTATTGGATCATAATTAAATGGTTTTCTATTTCTATTCATTGGACGCTGCACAAGTTTTGGTCTCACATTCTTTCCGAATGGGATTCGAGTCTTTGACCTCCAAGATGGAATGCCTTGTGTTTAGCCAATGGGGTTTCTCTTGGAGTCATAATTCAAGTTTATTGAAAACACTTTATTTTACCTTTGTTTAAGACAGAATTGGGCTGCCATGATTTTGACTTACAGTTTTGAGCTCTCTAGAGTTAGATTTCATATTTGCAGTTTGCTTGCCTCTGCATTCAGATATGGTAAGTTTATTTGGCCTAATTTCTTGTGTCTCTTTTCTCATTTGTTATGATATGCTAATAATTTGGTTTACTTGTACTTCTGCACCTTTCTTTCTAATTTGGCTCTTAAAATAAAATTTCTTGCTCCTCAATTTGTAAAGGATATGGTAATGTACGGGTAAAATCTCTGTTGGGCTTGGGCGCTGTGGCTCTTCTATTTTCATCTGTTTTGGCCTTGTTTCTGGCTTATCTAGAAGAATATATTAGTTTATTTCATCGCATACAAATTTGGACATTGAATCTGGATGTTCTTGTGACCTAAATTACATTTGGAAAACCGTTGTAATAGAAGCAATAGCTTCTATTAAAAAAGCATCTTGTTGCAGATGGTCGATGGGATTGTTGTTAATTCATTTCTGGTTTTGCATCTTGTAAAATTAGATATTCATAATTGTGGGGCTTCACGCAGATAATTCCTCCTGGTATGGAGTTCCATCACATAATTCCGCCAGATGGTGATATTGAAGGTGAACCAGATGGGAATTTGGATCATCCTGCTCCCCAGGATCCGCCTATTTGGTCTGAGGTTTGAAATATGTTTTAGATGTCTCTATTGGTACTTCTAGGACAATTAGCCTGTCCAAAAATTCTAATTTACATGATTTGTCTGACTTCTGAGGTTATAATGTGTTATTTCTAGATGCAACGTAAATGTAAATTTATTGTAACTTAAATTTTCTATCCAGATAATGCGGTTCTTTACCAACCCCCGCAAGCCAATGATCCTTGCCCTTGCTAGACCTGACCCCAAAAAGAACATCACAACTTTGGTGAAAGCATTTGGAGAGTGCCGTCCCCTACGAGAGCTAGCAAATCTGGTATGAATAATCACTCTACATATGTCCCAGTGTAATTTCTTCATTTCTGTTCAGCTGAGTTGGGTTGCCTTTCTGATCTTTTCCCCCCGTTTTCCTTTTTTTGCTTTTCTAATTTTTCAGACATTAATTATGGGTAACAGAGATGGAATTGATGAAATGTCAAGCACAAATGCCTCTGTTCTTCTCTCAGTACTTAAGCTGATTGACAAGTATGATTTGTATGGGCAAGTGGCATATCCCAAACATCACAAACAATCTGAAGTCCCTGACATATATCGTCTAGCTGCAAAGACAAAGGTAACTCCACCTCGTTGGTCTTTATGAGACACTGTGTATGAATGCAATCTGTTTGTCCAGTAAATATTTGCCTCTTCCGGTTCACTCCCTTTTGTGAGGACTAATCCGTTTGACATGCTAGTTTCTTTTGTATCATCATATTGTGGTTTGAAATTATTGACGTTTCTGAAAGTGAAGATGTCAATAATCTATTATGCACATAGAACACCTTTGTTACTTTCAATCTTCCTACATGACAAGCATTTTTGTGTTGTTTTCTATTTGGAACGTGTGACTTAAGTAAGGAACATGTGTGCCAATCAATCTGAATGTCAGTCTATGCACATTTCTCTCTTTCTCATGTAAGCTTTTTTTCGTTTTGCATTTTATTCTTGTTTTGTTATGCAGGGTGTTTTTATCAATCCAGCTTTTATTGAGCCATTTGGTCTTACGTTAATTGAGGTGGCTTTCTGAAACTTGAAACTTATTTATTTCTTATCACGTGATTTTTTGATTAAGTAATTAAGTAATTAATATATATCTTGTTGAACAGGCAGCTGCTCATGGTTTGCCAATTGTTGCAACGAAAAATGGAGGTCCTGTTGATATTCATCGGGTATGCTGATTCATTGGTAGTTTAAGTATTAGTTAGAAAAGCTTTGGGAAACTTCCGTGACTGCTGGGTCATTAATACAGGTACTTGACAATGGTCTACTTGTGGATCCCCATGATCAGCACTCTATTTCAGATGCTCTTTTGAAGCTTGTTAGCAACAAGCAATTGTGGGCAAAATGTAGACAGCATGGGTTGAAGAATATTCATCTATTTTCATGGCCTGAGCATTGCAAGACTTACCTGTCTAAAATAGCCACCTGTAAACCAAGGTATCCACAATGGCTGCGAAATGATGATGGAGCTGAAAGTTCAGAATCAGAATCACCAGGTGATTCCTTGAGGGATATTCACGATTTATCTCTAAACCTGAAGTTTTCACTGGATGGAGAGAGGAGTGGGGGTGGTGGAAATGATACCTTGGAGTCTGAAGGAAATGCAGCTGACAGAAAAACTAAATTAGAGAATGCTGTGTTTTCATGGTCAAAGGGCATCTCCAAGGAGACACGCAAATCTGATCAAAATACAAATGCTAGTAAATTTCCACCACTGAGGAGGAGAAAACATCTGTTTGTCATTGCAGTTGACTGTGATACTACTGAAGGTCTTCTTGAAACCATTAAAGTGATTTTTGAGTCTGCAGAAAAGGAGAGGGCTGAAGGCTCTGTTGGGTTCATTTTGTCAACATCCTTAACAATATCTGAGATACACTCATTCCTGGTCTCGAGTGGCTTGAGCCCTAATGATTTTGATGCTTATATTTGCAATAGTGGCAGTGATCTTTACTATCCCTCCCTCACTTCTGAAGATCGTGCCTTTGTGGTTGACTTGTATTATCACTCACATATTGAATACCGTTGGGGTGGGGAAGGGCTGAGGAAGACTTTGGTACGTTGGGCAGCGTCAATCACTGATAAGAAGGATGATATTGAGGAGCAAATTGTGACTCCTTCTGAACGGCTCTCTACTGACTACTGTTATGCTTTCAAGTTGCAAAGCCAGAAAAGGTAACTTGTCTTTCTAGTTATACATGATTTGTGTGAAAAATATCATTCTTAGCCTTAAGGTTCTGAATGAATTTATATGTTAAGTGTCTCATATTCAAAAATATATATTTTAGAAAATTTTCTAGACATTCCGTGCAGGTTCCCCTTTTATCATAGGTCCTCTTAGAAAATATTTTTTGACGGACTATTCTTTAAAATTTTACTCATTCTTATTTTGCAGGTTCCCCCTGTGAAGGAACTACGAAGCTTCTGAGAATCCAGGCTCTACGCTGTCATGTTATTTATTGTCAAAATGGGACAAGAATGAATGTAATTCCAGTAGTGGCATCTCGTTCCCAGGCCCTCAGGTATTGTTTAATCTTCATTGCCGATGCACTTTTACAGATGTTGGTAAATTAACTTTTTTCGCCGTTCTAAATAAATAAATACATTCTACTTTGACAAATGTTGTAAATTAACTTTTTTCGCCGTTTAAAATAAATAAATACATTTGTACTGTGTCTCTTTCTCTTTTTGGTTGGATAAGAGGGTGCACAATGGACAGTTACAGCATTGCCGTCTCACACCCTGGGATAAGACTACGCATCTATCAAATAAAGCTTTTATGGAATTGTCTTCCACTGTCTCTGCCAGTATATATTCCTCTCATGAAAGCAATCCTAACTCTACTAATTCATCTTTGATAGATTGATAGTATAAGGTGCAAGAACCTGGTTTCCTTGATGGTATTTAAATTAAGCATCTGGAATCTAGGAACTATTTTCCTTTTTTCCTAACATGATATCCCTCTATCGACTATTACACATGATAATATTATGCATAAATTTTATTTTGCAATCTGCTTGACTATGAGCTTCTCATCTAGGTACCTCTATGTTCGATGGGGTTTTGAACTGTCAAAGATGGTGGTGTTTGTGGGAGAATGTGGTGAAACTGATTATGAAGGATTGCTTGGTGGTCAACATAAAAGTGTTATACTGAAGGGAGTGGGTAGCAGTGCAATCAGCCAACTCCATGACAATAGAAGCTATCCTCTTTCAGATGTCATTGCACTGGACAGCCCCAACATTGTTGAGGCAAGCGAAGGCAGCAGCAGTGTGGACATCCGGTCCCTGATAGAAGAAGTAGGATTTCTCAAGGACTGAGAATAACCTTTGCTCAGTCATGTCTCTTCTGCGAAACATATCTTCATTCTTGTTTTTGTTCTTGAAAATGCTGACTGAGTCCTCCACTTTCCTCCTTTGCAACTTGCGTACTCATTCTCTCATCCTTCACCACCACTCTGCCCCATGAAGCTTGTTTTGGCTCCAGCATGTTTGTATATATGCTTTTCAATAAAAGAGCAACTTCCATTTCGATCAGTTCGCCGCTTTTCTTTTCCTGGACGTTGTGATGACCGCTCTCTCGCGATCTCATTATCTCCGGAAGTACATGTCTTGTACTGTCTTTGATCTTTTTCCTGTCTCTACTTCATCTACAATGGCAACTTAGGATGTTGCACAATAAGAAACAAGCATATATAAAAGGGATCCATCGTCAATCTGTAATTGAACACTGTTGGGATAAATGACGGGTTATTTGCAGTTGTATGTGCTTTATTTTATAGAGGAACAAGATGGTTCCCATACGGACAAGTGATGCCTAGAAAATTTGTTACGTTTATTTGTATTGTCTTCTGAATTTACCAGAGAAATATATTTTATTCATTATTCTCTTTTAAGACCATAGGCATTTCAATCATACAAGTGACCCACAATGCGTCTCCGTGTCCGAGTGTCAATCTAATATTTGTTAGCCCATGAGATGGGGAAATGTATGCCATGCACTGTTCTCTTCAGGTTGATTTAAGTTTAGTGGCATTGAAAATGTCTATTACCGTTCAAGATATACGAAAAATATAAATATAAAATGACATAACTTTGGTTTGATCAGTCTCACCTAGAGTAAAAAAATCATGGGAAAAAAAAACAAAGTCATTGTTCAAGTGTAAACATGTATTTTTTTGTTTTCCCCGTTGCATCGAGTCTGGAGGAGAAAATAGACAACACGATGCTTTCCTGGCAGATGGGTAGTTAAAAATAGTGACAATGGCGTATAACTTCCAGATTGAGGAGTAGGATAGCTGAGTGGATCAATGAATACTTACTTGCGCCATAATCCTATCCAAGCTCGTCAAAGTCTCAAAGATCTCAGAAGTAAAAGGGTGTGTCTCATCGTTGACTCCAAATTTTTTATAACCCGATTCTAGCTCGATGGAGCTATACCCAATTGGCTTCTTAATTTCTCTCTCTCTGATTAATGTCCTCACTCTTGCTGCATCCTTCCACCGACCTGCATCTTCATACATCTGTGCCAGAATTACATAACGCCCTGCATTATCAGGATCCAACACAAATAGCTTCTCAGCAGCTAATTCAGCCAGTTCTATGTTCTTGTGTATTCTACAAGCACCCAACAAGGCACCATACACATTTTTATCTGGTTGAATAGGCAGAGAGTTAATAAGTTCCATAGCTTTATCTAGATGGCCAGCTCTTCCCAAGAGATCCACTGCACAAGCATAGTGTGCTCCACTTTTCTGAACTCCATAAGCTTCCATGGTTTCAAACATGTCCCAACCTTCTGCTAGCATACCTGCATGACTACAAGCAGATAGCAAACACAAAAATATAACCCCATCTGGGCGTATGCCAGCTTCAACTAGTTGCTTGAACATACTGAGTGCCTCCTGTGCAAAGCCATGCATCCCATAGCATCTAATTATGGCATTCCATACAAAAATATTTCTCTCGGAGTCAGAGATTCGGTCGAAGATGGCTCTTGCAATGTTGATATAGCCACAGTTTGAATATAAGGATATAAGACCACTGCATAAAGCCGCATCAAGTTTCATTCCTGACTTTACAATGTAAGAATGAATCCAGAATCCTGCTTGGATATCTGCAGCCCGAGCAAGCGCTGGAAGAACAGTTACAAAAGTGGCATTATCAGGAGCACCTGTGACATCATTCCTCAACAGGGCATCGAAGATCTGGATTGCTTCATCCATATATCCATTTGTGGTATATCCAGAAATCATGGAATTCCAACTAACTATGTCTTTTTGAAGAATCCCATCAAATACTCTTCTAGAGATGTCAACGTCCTTACACTTGGCATAAAACGTCACGAGAGCGTTTCCTACATACAAATCAAAGTCCAACCCAAATTTCACGACATGGCCATGGATCACTTGCCCCTTTTTATGAGCTTCCTCTGCGCCACAAGCCTTCAGCACAAAAGGGTATGTGTAACGGTTCGGAGTTATGCCATTTGAGCGCATTTCATCATACATGTTCAAGGCTTCAACAAAAGGACCCACATTCGCATAACTCTTGATGATCACATTCCAACAAAATACATCTCTTTTAAACAATTTGTCAAACACCTTCCTTGCGCTTTCCAGGTTGGAAGAAGAACTGAGCTCAGCGTACTTTCCAATTACCTTAGTTGCAATAAATTGATTTTGTCCACAACCTCCGATAATAATCTGGGCATGCACATTTTTTATGCCGGCCGTGTTTTTACAGAGCTGCAAGAGATCCACGAAATAGTACGAGTCTTTGTAAGCTTTCGAATATGCAGTTACTGCCTCTAAAAATCTGATTGATGTGTTCAAAGCCCGATTCAATCCCAGCAGCTTCTGCCGTACTTTTCGACATTGGCCAAGCATAGGAACTCATTAAGATTTATGAAATCTTTCCCGAGACTTACCAGAGATGATTCTGAATATTTCTGATCATGCTTGCCACTTACAGTTTCCAGTGATGTTGATGCTAGTACCTTTTGGAGTAAAATAAAAGGGAATTTTTTACTTTGATTGTGAAGGAAACCGAAAAAACCAGAACAACAAATCACCTTCTGATTTTATTTCCTTTACAATGCCTGTGATGTTTGAAACTTGAAAATCAGAAACAAATCACCCCACGGAATGATTCTCAGTCCACGAAGAGGAAGCCTAGTACTGCAATCGTATGAGCGTCTGTCCAAATTTCCCGGCGGAAAGAATCTGGGCCGTCAGTTTAATCTAACGGTTTAGATAAATATTTGAGACCGAGGCTAAAAAACGAGGATCCGAATCCGACTTACGGCCCAATGATAGCCCAGTACTCCTTAACACTCATATTGTGGGCTAATGATGACGTCACCCCCATTCACCGAGAACTTTGGACCCTCCGTCATGTTTTTTTTTTTCTTTTTTGGTTTGGTCAAAATGAAATGTATCTCAAATTTAATTGCCATTCCGATTAATATAAAATATGATTTATAAATTATAAATAATATGTTCCTATTAACTTTTATTCAGTGAAATGCAAGGGCGTGATATCTGTACGAGTTAAAAGCAAGTCGTGCATGGTTGACTTTGAAATAGGTGCTTGCATGGGATGGGCAAGGAAGTGAAGCCATGCAGAAGAATTCAATATGAGCCACGAAAACCTTAGGTTTCAACTCTTTGGAGTAATTAACATTTCCCATTCCTATTTTATGGCGTTACACTCACAATGGAATGTTCCAGGACCTTAAAGCCTTGTCCGGATAATGTATAGCTTCAGACACCGGATGATTTATTACAAAATAAAATAAAAATCATAAGAGACCGAGGAAGTTAGTTGTCTGTATATATATTTTTCTCTTATTTTCAAAATCTACTTAAGTAAATAATTTATGATAGTAAAATCATTTATTATAGGTTAGGGGAAATCATTAAATAGGGATACATGTGAAAATATTTTATAAAACAGCTCTTAGAATTTTAAACTGTGTATTATGAATAAGAACAAGGGCTAAAAATTGGACACTATATTTAGGGACGGGAGTATATAATCGCTCCATTCTCAAATATAAAAAAAAATTAAAATGGTTAAAGTTATTAAATTTGCCTCTAATTAAGTTAGTATTTCTCCCCAAAAAAAATTAGATAACTTAAATATGTTCTATTATCTCATCTTCAAAACTTATGTATGTAGTTAATAAATAGTATTTGAGGAGTAAATTAATTAACTCCCCAAACATTCAGATAGGTGTCATATTTTGGACCAACCTAATTCTCTCTAGTGCTCTTTATGAGAATCTAGAGGGAGTAAATATTTCCAAAAAAAATAATAATAATAATAACTACATCTAAATTTATGCTTCATTTATTGGATTTTCTTGTTGGCAAAGCATACCTGTAATGTATTCTGAACCTGTTTCATTTTGAGTTGAGGAAACTTTAATAAAATTCAAATTAGTTTGGATCAGGCTAGGTCTATACAATTTTATGCGAAAGCTCTGCAATCAAAGCTATTGTATTTTTATAGTTTAAATTTGAGATTTTTGATTGAATTTGTACAACTTTCTTATCAACTGAATCAAGCTCTCAGTAGTTCATTTATTAGATTCTACGCAAGGTTGTCGATTTTTGGTCGGTGATTCCACGAAGAAGAATGGAATCAAAGTCTAAAGGAGCCACAAAGATGATAATGGGTTTGAACTCGGAAGGAGCGGGATTTGACGTCTGTCCTCGTTTTGGATTAATTTTATGAACTGCAAATTGCCATAAAATATTCTCAAGCCTTGGACTTGTCAGTTCCGTAAATATATGTGATGCACAACAATGAATGAAGCCTCAAACAATACTTCGATCGTTTCAAAATAATTGTCATTGTGTACACGAATTAGAAAAAGAAAGAGAAAATTGCTCAAAAATTGCCATTCAACTATTTAATTGTGCTCAAGGACCTGATCTATTTCTAATAAAAAACTGTTTGGATTACTTTTGATGCACTGGACCTAAGAAAAGAATTGGCTGAAGGCCAAACCAATTATGTGAGATGAAAGCCCATCAATTAGCCTACTTCGTTAGAATTAAGTGAAATGCTGCAACATTTGCATTTAAGAAAATTGTGGTAAACGATTTTAAAAACTTGCCAGTCGATTTAGAAACTAGGAACAAAAATATTAATCAGATAAGGTCCTTATGCACAATTAGATTGATGAAGAGGAACCTTTTAGCAATTTTCCCAAAAATAACTAACAAATAGCCTGAAATTTTAACAAAAGATAATGCTATTTTTTATTAAAACACATTTATTTATATGTTTTAAAATAAAAAAATTATATATAATTCATTTAATGAGTAAAATAAATGAGGAATGATTTCTTCAAAACATCAAGAAAAAAAATTTGTAGGGAAGAAAAAACTAAAGCTGACAATTATTTAAGGATAGGGAGTAGTTTACATAATTTCTTCATACATTTATTATTATAAGATATAATCTCTTTGTTTCATTGTAATTTTTATTAGTTACTTCTAATTTACTGAAGCTAAAGTAAATTTTAAAACTCACAAACTCTCTTTAAAAATTTAATAAGCTTTGAATTTTATATATATTAAATACACATATTTTAATAACATATTTTTTCAGCAACATTTAATGAGAGGTGAAAATTAAAACTCTGTGATACAAAGTTAATGATATGGCGTTATAAATGGAACTAAAAAATAAAAATTTTAGCTCAAACATTTCAACTTTAAATATAATTATTTACATTAGTTGATGTTTTTAAATTATGTGAATTAGTCAAAATTCTCTTATATTTATTTTGATTGGTTATAGACATCCACATATTGAAAGTATAATCGGACACTAAATGTAATTACTTTTTTTAATAGGTATTTAAGAAAATTCTCTTGTATTTAAAAATGAAGGGAGGATGAATTAATTAAAAATGAGGAGGAGTGATAAATTTGACCAAGCATATATTAACAAGACGAGGCACACATGGTTTCCTACACGTCAGCAATGGGAAGTGGGTTTGATTAAAAAGTTGCCCAATAAATGAGAAGAAAATAGCGATACGGACATATATTAATGGGGTCTGTTTGTCAGCCACCTGTCACCCAACTCCAACTAATTACTTGGTAACCCACCCTTATCTAAATTCTATGTCCTTCTCAACCTTCCTCAAACCAAAACTCCTTTTTCCTCTCCTTCTTCTCGACTCTTTCTTTGTTTTTTGTTTTTAATATGGTTTACAAAGTAAACCATTTCAATAAACATACGTTATTAAATAATTAAAATTGTCGTTTACCAGAAAAAATAAAATAAAATTGTCTGTAAATGAAATTGTCCCTCCATCCTAAACTTAAGTTGCTGCCCTGCTACTTCAGTTAGAATTTTGAATTTGAAAGACCAATTAGCACTCTTTTTAACTCACACCTGCAAAGTTGGAAACAGTGATTTCTTAAAAAATAATAATTAATGCACTATCTTTATGTACAAAATGACTAATATGATTACCAATTTATCGCAGAAGATGACTAGCATATAAAACAAGAAACAATGTGTGTTGGGAGAATTGCATGCAAGCCCCAAAAGCAACGTATTCACTTTGGTCTGATGAATTATGAATTTTCTTTGCATGCTCAGAGATATCAAGTGCAATTATTTTTTAATGTGAAAAGAGTAAACTATCAGAATATTTGTGCTGCACATTAATCAAAGAAAATTAACATCAAGATGCTTGTAAAAAACAAGAAAAGTCTAATTATTCACTCACTTTGATCTTATTTATAAATCACTTTCAATATATTTTGTCAAAATAAAAAAATTTTAAATTTTATTAACTATGTTTTAAATTTTAATAAGCTTCCATCTCTACCCTTAACGAGGACAAAAAATTTGTTTTTAATAATTTTTTATAGCATTTAATGAAGATAAAATAGTAAAGATTGATATAGAAAACAGTAAAATATCTTATAAATTCTCTTTGCCCTATAAATATGATTGGAGAAGTGCAACAAGAAATTTGTTCATTCACAAAAGTCTATATGTGTTTACACTTGCACTTAAAAAATTTACAAGTTAATCAAATAAAATTAATAACAAAAGGTCTTTAAATAGCAAGAAAAATCTAATTATTTATAACAAAAAGTCTGTTTATTTATAAGAATCCATGCAGATTTAAACTTGCATTTGAGAAAACTTACAAGTTAATGAAATAAAATTATCAATAAAAGGTTTGTAATTTAACAAGAAAAGTCTAATTATTTGTAATAAGTAATTCATATATTCACAAACGTTCATGTGAGTTTATACTTACATTTGAGGAGAAGGAAATTTACAAATCAATAGAAGAAAAAAATGATAAAAGGCTCACAGATAACAAGAAAAGTTCAATTAATTGCAACAAAAAGTACATTGAGTACAGAATTCATGTAAGTTTACTCGAAGATAATTTAGGACACATTTGAATTTTAATTGAGTATAATTAATTATAAAATTAGTTAATTAATATGATTGTTTTTAGTATACTTATTATAACACAATCTGTTTAAATATTATTTTTTTAAAATTGATTTTAGCAATCTGTTTAAATATTATTTTTTTAAAATTAATTTTAGCTTTGTAAATTACCATAAAAGATATTGCTTTTTAAAATTAAATTATTAATAAAATTATATTTAATATTATTAAATTTGTTAAACTTTATTTAAGAAGCAAAACATATTATTTAAAGTAAAATTAAATTTATAAGTAACTTTTTAGAGCTTATTTTAAAACATAATTTTAGCTCAATAGTCAATTATAATTGATTTGAATTTCAATCAATTGTTTGGATAATTTTCACTAAAATTGATTATTTAACCTCAAAAATTGAGTATACACGTCATCCAAACAAGCTTTTAGCCTTTTCACTTCCAAAATAATTGTACTTGAAACCTTTGTATCTGAAGTATGAATGTGTTTATTAGGTAGGTGTTGGATGTGATTCTCCTATGTCAGCACTAGAGCCAATAATTTAAATTGACCGTGCTTATTCGAATCGAACTTAAAATATCATATTATTTTTAAAAAATTTATATAGTCAAACTTGGCCCTAACACTTTTAGACTTTGAGCTTATTCGAATCAGTTCAAATACTCAAAACTTTTAAAAAATATTTTTTCTTATTTTTGAACCAATTTTAAATTTTAAATAATTTTATTAAGTATAAAATATTATTTTAACTTTAAAGTAATAAG